TTTGGACTGTACCAGTTATTGAGTTCTTGTGCATGTCACCACACTGGCTTTGTGGTTATGGGGGCATGAATGAAGTGCCCTCTAGAATGGAGATTACTTGGTCACATGGTGTTGTGTGTGTGGAGGGAGGAGCAGTCCAGGTAGAGGGACCAGCGGGATAGAAACATCTTAGAAAAGACTTTCTTCTTTGACATGAAGCAGGACCTGGTTTGAAACCAACTCTGCCCCTTAGTAGCTTCGGGCAAATAAATTGCTTTTTTGACCTCTTGGTAACGTGCCTATAACATGGAGTTGACAAAACAAAAACAAAACTACTTCATTTCAACTATGTAACCTTCCAGGAAAGGCAAAACTATGGAGACCGTAAAAAGTTCAGTGGTTGCCAGGGGGCAGGGGGTTGGGCAGGGGTGAGCGGGATGAACAGGCGGAGCCTAGTGGTTGTGTAGGGCAGTGCAGCTACTCTGCGTGATGCCATCTCGGTGGGTATGTGTCATTATACAGGAGGTTTGTCCAGACCCATAGAATGTACACTAGCAAGAGTGACATTCGACTTGGGTGACAATAATGTATCTATGTAGGTTCATCAGTTGCAACAAATGTACCCCTGTGGTGGGGGCTGGTGGTGGTGGGAGAGGCTGTGCAGGTGTGGGGATGGGATATGGAAACTCTCCCGTGCTCAGTTCTGCTGTGAACCTAACACTGCTCTGAAAGATACAGTCTATTCATTAAACAAGACAACAATTTTAAGGACTGTGGTCCGAGCGCTCATCAGTGGGTGTGAGAGAAGACAGGCCAGGCCTCTGTCAGTTTTGCTCATTCTCTCTAGGCAGTTACATCACCCCTCTGTCACTGCTCCTGCTTCGCAGCTGTTTTCAGTGTGTCTTGCTTGTGGGGTGTGGTGGTGTTGGTTGGTGCTGGGGGGTCTTCCCATTTAGACATTGAGCGATTCGGGCTGAGGAATTCTGTCTTGTATTTCCCCTCGCTGCTGTGTGTAGGAAAGGAGGCAGCTAAGAACATCGGGCCCACTCCTATTCTTTTGTTAAGAAAAACAGTGTTTCACCAGGAAGTTAGAGCTACTGTCTAAGAGACTCAGAACTGTTGTGTCCCTCAGAGTTCTCTGTTTTGCCCGGTTGCAGACTGCAAGCCTCAGAATAAACAACCACATTTGTTCATTTATCTGGTCCAGGGAATTCTTAAATCTAAGTGCTCAGAGCTCTCAGGGACGAGCAGGGTGCTGATTACTCTGTTGGCAAGTGTTAGGTAGCCAGTTTCAGAGCTGTTAAGTGTTCGTGGAGTATATGAATATGTGGCTGTAATTAGTCATGTAGATCTCCGCTACTCAACATGTGGTGCCCAGGCCAGAAGCATCGCATCATCTGGCAGTTTATTAGAAGTACAGACTCCCAAGCTGCACCCAGACTCACATGCACAAGTGATTTGCATGCACGTTGAAGTTTGATCTCACAGGTGGGACGTAGATTCCTTTTCCCTGGATTCCTCTCCCTCCTCCATGGAAGGGCCCTCCTGGTTCTTTTTGACCAGGATGTCCCCTGGTTGGTATCTGATCCCCTTACAGTACGGAAGAGGTTTCTAACTGACTACGAGCCTTGGGGTCAGATAGGAAGTGGGAGAAGGAGAAGAACATGAAGAAGTCGTTCCTGGCCCGAGACGTTCACGTTTGCCTTGTCTTACTCGTGTCCCTTCCTGTCACCTTCTGTTCCGTGGCTCAGCTTTTCTGTCTGGTTGTTTCCTTTTTGGTAACTACAGTATTTTAAAATGAGAAGGAATAGACACGACGGAGACATTTTTATTCCCTTTAAATAAATATTTCTGAAAGATTTAGTGGTGAAAGACCATGTGTAATTTTTGTGGGTGAGATCTGACCAGCACAGAGTTTCCAGCAGTCCTGAGCCTTCTGTGGAACAGAAAGTCTTTTTTTTTGTCATCTTGTATCCTTTTTTCTCTCTAAAAATATTAAACTTCAAGAAGTTTTGAGGCAGAGGTAAGCCTGGGGTCATGAATTCTAATGGTATTCTTAGTGTTCAAAAATATTGTATTTAAAAAGCTAAAATGTTGGCAGTTTTTTGATTGGGGTATTTTAAAAATTCAGTAGTGGTTTTTAGTATCTTTTTCCTGTATCCCTGTTACAAAAGTGGTATTTTACTAGCATGACAGCATCACATGACCTCCGAACCTTTCACCTTTATTCATCTGGATGACTCTTTACTAGTTGGGAAGTTTCCAGGTAGGGAAGGAAGCTCTGGATCAGGGATGAAGAGCCAGGTTAGAGGGTTGAGTGCTGTGCCGCCTGGCTGTGTGACCACAGGCATCCTGGTCCTGATACACTTGTCTCTAAACAAGGAATTCAACTAGAGCTGTGATTTTTCAGCATGGGATGGGGGCTCTTTGAGTAGGTTGTGTGTGTTTCAGGATCTTGGGGCCGGGGGGAACATATGTTATTTGAGAAAGGACAGTATTGTATGTATTAGGGAAAATGGGAAAACACTTTTTATTTAAACAAGTGGCATAAATTAAAGCCTATAGTTTTGGTTGGTGGGTAGCAAAGGATGAGAAGCACATGGGATTAACAGTTGGTACTATTACTTAGTACTGTGTGTTGGGCTCTGCTCTAAACTTTTGATGGACACATGCTCTTATTTAAATATACCTAAAAAAAATAATCCCTACGAGTACTACTGTCATGTGAAGAACCAGAACAGAAAGGTTAAGGATCATGTTCAAGGTCATCACAGCCAGTAATGTGGGGCCCAAACCAAGCCTTAGCTGCTAGGCCTGCTACCTCTGCATTCATAGTCTGATATGAATCAAGATCATTTTCATCTGTATTTTACCTTCTGAACAAGTTTTAGTATATGTGTAACTGGGATGAAATTG